TTGAAAGTTTAGATATAAACATTCGATTATATTAAGCAATTGAGAGTTGAGCCACTAAAAAAATAGATAGCTTTCTTATGTATACTTACCACCGAAATACGAATTTGTGTAAAATCTTATCCAAAAAATATACAAGGAATTGAGTGGATTGAATCCTCCGCTGTTTTGAACGGAATTCCGAATATTAATGACAGAATGTCAGTTGAACTAAGAGAACACTAATAGATGTGTGATAGGACAGAATTAAACTTTAATATGACATCACAACAAGAAATGTTTTTATTACTTCTCTCAGTGAATCATTAAAAACCAGAATGAACTTACAGAGTAAGCAGTTTGTACAAAAACATTTCAGGAATTTAAACACGTGCTAGAAGAACCGAAATACAGAAGAATTGGAGGATACTTTATGTAGACCAATAAGCCTCTTGGCTTTGTTAACTTTCATTGTTAAAATATCTTAAATCTATACACTCACGGTCAGATCTATTTTGATCGTTCCATTTGTATCTACAGATATGTATAAGACTGTGGCTTTGGTCTGGCGGAATTAATGACATATCAACTCTTGGTAGACTGTTTAATCCTAATTTTTTAATACTTGAGTCTATAAATAAGCCTTGGTCGTAATTATAATTGGGTCTATTGGTAATCATTGGTAGTGTTTATACTTGAGACTATAAATAAACATTGGTCGGATTTATACTTGGTTTTATAAGTAAACATTGGCCGGGTTTGTACTTGACTCTATACGTAAACATTGATCGGGTTTGTATTTGACTCTATACAGAAAACTTGGTTGTGTTTGTACTGGAGCATGTACGAAATCATTGGTCGGTTTATACTTGAGTCTGTACGTAAATATTCGTTGTGTTTTATACTTGAGTCTATAGGTAAACATTGGACTAGTTTATACTTCCAATTGTAGGTTAGGCTTTTGTTGTAGAGTAGTTTTAACAGTGGAGGCTTGTATTTCACTAAGTCGGTCCTAAATTAGGTTCGACGTACAAAACGTTAGGAACTTGAAAATAATAGTTAATGATGCAGCAATCTAGTTGTGGTGGTTGATACTTCAATGTCCGACATCGACTGACTGACTCAACTCAATGAGCCCCGGCGACTGCTACTACTACTACTTATAACTGGGAGAGTCTATTAACAATAGAATAGGTATGTTCCAGTATAACAGCTTTATATTTGATCCTATAGGTAAATATTCGTTGGGTTTATGCTTGAATCTATAGGTAATCATTTGTTGAGTTTATACTTGAGTCAATAGCAAAACATTGGTCAGGTTTATATTTGAGTATATAAGCAAACATTGGTGAGGTTTATACTTGAGTCTAGAGGTAAACATCGGCTCTCCTTATGCTTGAGCCTATACATAAACGTGGTTCGTGTTTATACTTGAGTCTGTAGGTAAACGCTGCAAGTGTTTATATTTGAATCTATAGGTTAGGTTTTATATTTTAGCCTATAGGTAAATATTTGTTGGGTTCATTCTTGATTCTATAGATAATCATTAGTCAAGTTTATACTTGATTATAAAGGCAAACATTGGTGAGGTTTATTCTTGAGTCAACAGGTAAGCATTGGCAGAGTTAATACTTGAGTCTGAAGGTAAACATTTGACGAACTTATACTTGAGTCTGCAAGTATCCACAAGGAAGTTGACTCCTTTTGTGGGTGGTGTTGCATCTCTGCAGCGGGGTGCTTCCCACGTAATATGGACCCCACTGACAGGGCAAGTTTATGACACAAAAGACTGAAATTATCTGTTTACGAGTTAAAATGTCTAAAAAGCAATGTCGTGTATAATCGTCATTCCCTGGATATGCAAGACTCGCAGGTGACTTAGTATTGTACATTTTATTTGGATGATGAAAAGAAGTTGGTAGGATTAAATCACGTCCCTTGTTTGTTAATCGAATATTGACAAAGTTGTTTTTTGTCGGGGTGGGGGCTACTTTTATAAAGTACGTATTAAATGTTTTACTTTTTCTGTGTAGTCAGTTATCCCAGCTTATTCCGCGGCTATTTTAACATTTTTAGTTAAGTAAAATTGGTTTAATTCCAGGGTTGGCACTGCGTAATAATTTCACGGCTTTCGTATTTTAAATTTTTTCATATATGTTCCCATTTATAATAGGTGTTTCATTAAGACAGATCAAAGTAAGAAGTAAATAAATCAGTTTTATCGGTGAAAATTTATTTATCAGGTTGGTGCAAAAATAATGACGTAATGATGTCGTTTTTTGACGTTAAAAATACGTCCAAAAACGACATTATTACGTCATTATTTTTGCACCAACCTAATATTTCTCTATTGGATCATGTTATTTAAGTCATGGCAATTATGTGTAAAAAATAATATCGCCCAAATGTCGGCCAAAGCTTCGGCGGCACACCTCCACTCGATGGCAAAATTTTTGATGACGTCTCTGCATAGTTGCTCCTTGATCTCACCAATATGCCTTATTATCTCATCCTTCAGCTGTTGAATTGTTGTTGGCTTGTTGGCATAGACGTTACTTTTGAGATGAACCCAAAGGAAGAAATCTGAAAACGTTAAGTCGCACGATCGTGGTGACCAAATGAATTCGCTGTTTCGAGAGATGATCCAACCTGGGGACTTCTCATTGCATTTCTGTTTGACCGTCTATTTTCGTAATAGGCTTCGATAATTTTAACATGTTTGATTGTTAATCATTCTATGGTTGAAATTGCCAAAGACTTAAGTTGTCAAATCTGAAAGAAAAAGAAAAAATCATTAGACGCTTAAAATACACATTTAAAATCGGTCCAAGTTATTCGAACATCCTTTACATTGAAAAGTATAAGTTCTTGATTATTCTAATATCCTTCCCAAATAAATCAACTTATATTGCAGTTCAAACAGTTCATGTTTAATAGTTTATCGAACAATTTTTCCAATTGCACTCTTGAAACTTTAAGACGTTGTTTGATTGTTAATCTTTCCATGGTTGAAATTGCCAAAGTCGTAAGTTGTTAAGTCTGAAAGAAAAAGAAAAAATTAAATTTAATTCACATTTAAAATCGATCCAAGTTATTGGAACGCCATTTATTTGTAAAATAAATTAAAACAACGAAAAAAAAAAGCCTTCAATAGTCAGTATTTTTTGCTTATATTCACTTTCATTGTTCAAATCGAGCCTGGATATTTGACGCTATCGCGGACACAATTCTCGGTAGAAAAATATTAACAATGGTCGACGTCCTTGATCTCGATTTGCGCCGTTCGTTACAAAGGCACTCTCTTTACATAAAAAAAAAAAATTAGCCCACCTACCTATATTCTATTTTCCTGGAACTGTCCCTCTTTTAACCAGTCGATCATTGTCATACATATTTCTTCGCTTTTTTTTCTCTCTCATTTTTGTCGTCTGCTTTACAGAATACATATGAACACTGTAAGATTTTATTATGCAAGGCATCGTTTTTATCCTAAAATTTCTATTAGCTAACCAACCATGATTAAAAACGTTTAGGATATAGTTATATTTATGTGAGGAGTATCTTGTGATTTCTAGCTTATATATATATATCCATTCTTCTTCTATTTACTGCGTCTTTTCAGTATATGGCCGATCATGGCTCTCCACAACTTTCTATCCCTTGGGGCTCTTAGTTTTCCTCCATTTGATAAGACCCCAACTCCCGTTCCGCCATCCATTCACACAAGTCTGTGGCTCGCTGCCTTTCTCTTTTGCCTTCAGTATTCCTTATGAGTGTCAAGTTTTCCAAGCCCTCCTTCCTAATTATGTGTCCAAGAAATTTCAGTTGTCTCTTCCTGATTCTGAGCATAAGTTTTCATTTGTTACCATTTTCTTTAAGACTTACTCGTTGTTTACTCGATCCGTCCATAGAACTCGCCTGTAAAATCTTGATAACTAGAATTTTTGCAACACGCGTCTTGAAATCTTCAGAGTGTTAAGTATTGCTGAAGTTATTGCCCAAATTTTTGTCCGGATTTACAAACTCTACGTTTCGTTCAATTTCGCAGATCAATCGATGAAATATAAAAACTTAAAGAAAATATATGAAAAAAACCATATTGCATTTTTATTAAATAAATATTTGTTATTTTAATCATGAAATTGTTTTTAAAATAGTGGAAATATTTTGGCTGTTAAATAATAAAACCTTTAATTTTTTTCCAAAAATAAATTAAATTTGTTGTACTAAGCTACGCACATTAGTAAAGCCAATAAAAAACTTTACTTTCTACTTACCTGTTTGCACTTCTCCCCAAAATTTGGTATCAATCGGTCAATGTATGGCTATTTTAGAGGGTGTGACAGATGGACGGACGAACGGAAGCCACAGACATATATATATATATATATATATATATATATATATATATATATATATATATATATATATATTATGGCATAAAAAGCAAGAAATTTTATATTATAGGCCATGATAGATTTAAAATAAAAACAAAAAACACACCAGTCGACCGGTTTCATCCCCTTTCATCAGAACTCTTAACGGGGGAACACAAATTATGAAGAGAGAGAAAAAAATGCCTGTCATGGATGACGTGAATGAATGGAAGGAGAAAAAATATGATATATATATATATATATATATTTATATATATATATGGAGATAGATAAATAGATAGATAAATAACTCGTTTTGTAAGTGTCAGGTTTTATTATGCAAATTGGAGCATTTTCATTCTTAAAAAAAAAAGTAAAAGATATCGACCACAGTAACATATATTTCATTAAAACAATATGCTATGTAACTGAATAAATTATTATTTTTATTGTTTTGTGGATCACCCAAACATATTCTGTCGTGAGACTTCTCTTAACGACCGCCATGTGGCGTTATAGAAATCAGTATAAAATCAAAGTACTTATAACCCACTCCTTTTTCCTCGTCCACTACTTACAAAACGTGTATCGGTTCCTCTATGGGAGTTTTTTTAGCTCACAAATGGACCACGAGATTTTTCTTGAGGCTTACGGCCACATCACGTTGAAACATCGGTTCTCGTACGATCTCCGAAGTTAAGCAACGTCGCCCCTGGTTAGTACCTACATGGGTGACCGCTTGGGAATACCAGGTGCAGCAAGCTTGGCTGTGCGGGTGGTGTAATGGATAATGGTTCTAAATTGTTAATCGTAGAGTCGAGTTCCAATTCCAGTTTGGTTCGTATATTCACTTACGCACAAATACTCTTGAGAAAGGTATGAATCCACCTCTTCTCCCTAGCTATGAGTTAATTAGCAAGACTTTTATCACTAAAGCATTATTGTCTCAAAAAATTCCTGCAATCTAAAAATATTTCCTGGTTTTAAATAACCTGGAAAGGGTTGATAAGCCGTAGAAAATGAATGAATGAATAAATCAATGATTTCAGGATTATGATATTTAGTATATAAATATATAAAATCCATGAACATGTTGATTTATTTACTTATTTGTTTGTTTAGCGGCATGTTAACTTCTTAAGGTTTGTTTACCGAACTATTTTCATCCTATATAGCGAGGCAGTTCTGAGAGAATTGGAAACCCTGCCAGGATTTTGAATTAGCGGCCACAATCTTAACAACATAAGATACGCAGATGACACAGTAATGATAGCAGACAAGGAAAAGAAATTAAAAAATCTCCTACAGAAGGTAGCGACGGAGGTGTGAAGAAGAGATAAGCATAAACTAGTATGTATGGTCATCACTAAAAGGATGAACCTGAAATACGATTGCAGGTCGGGAACACTAGAATCAAGCAAACTCGGAAGTTTAAATATCTGGGAAGCGTTCTGACAGTAAATGCGACACTGACATCCGAAGACAGATTGGGATGGCCAAGGACGCATTCCAAAAACTGGGCAGAGTATTGCGAGACAGGAGGAGTAACAAAGAAAAGAATACTCAGCTGTTACGTAACATGTCCTTCTTTACGGTAGGGACAGTTGAACGATTTCCTCAAAGATGAAGAGACTCGAGGCGACAGAGATGTGTTTCTACAGAAGGATGCTAAGGATATCATGGATCTAGCATGTGAGCAACGACGAGGTCTTAGAGAAGATACAAACAAGGAAGAGGCTTATACTAACATCAGGAAAAGCAGCTGAAGTTTCTGGGAATAATGAGAAAGGAGGGCCTGGAGATTCTGATACTCACGGGTCGAATAGAGGAAAAGAGAGACCAGGTAAAACAACACGTGACATACCTGGTGGGCTTAAGCAAGTGGATGACAGAACGTGGTTTGGAGGAGTTAGCAGAGGGGAGGAACTGGTTGAGAGCTGCAAGCGATAGAAGGAGGTGGAGAGCCATGATCGCCTACGTCCTGAAAGGACATGGCAGATAAAAAGAAAAGAAAGAATGTCGAAATTTAATTTGCTTGGGAGGATTAGTAATTTCTTTTACAGAAATGTATTGCTGGTATTTTGTTTTTCTAATTTAAATTTTTTATTGCAAGAACGTATTGCTGGTATTTTTTACTATAAATATACTTTCATCAGGTTTTGACCGCAGTTTGGGTATAAACTATCTACGCATAGCTGGGACCATAACAAGTGCTAGTAACCCGCGTCAGGGTGGACCTAGAAATACCAGCAATTAAGAGGTGGTCTACGCTTCTCAAAACCTCCTGATCAGAGGCCATGTTCCCGGATGTAGTTTATCGTCATACCTAGGACGATGAACATGCTGAACTGTCTTGGTTTGAAAATGTTAAGATATTCATCCGAATGTCATTAAAGTTGGTAACGCAATTTCCGTTAGACGTATTCATGTGGGTACTTCGACATTCTGTAACCGTCCATTGATTTTGTTAAGATTTCGACTGTTTCAACTTTAACATTTCATACAGCAGGCTTTATTCTTTGTTGAATGTCGTTTTTCATTCTCTTAAATTTTCCTTCGGACTTTTATCTGGGAAAAGCTGAACCTATTTTATTAGTTTGGTGTCGTCTGTGACGTTCTTTTCAAAAGGTAGACAATTGTCAGCTTTGTAGAAGGTGAAGGAACACTGTATTGCAAAGGTATATACTATTTAACCTCTTGGTTTTGACATGTACCCCTCAAATAACAACTTGTCTGCGAACTTGCAATAGTTTACTGCATTTATCTTAATACCATCATCAAATTTGAAAGGAATCATAATTTTAATACCGACAATATTAGTTCAAAACATTACTGATATCACAGGCACAAAATAAAACAATAATCAACAGATATACTATATCAGCCAAAACAATAGTAATCTGATGATGTCCATAGGTTACTTGGTCGAAACTTGGTCTATAATCGCATCTACAGTAAGGTTAGTTGGGCACCGTCTGTCAGAAAAAGAGCACTATGACGTAATTCACTCTGCCAGAAATATGGAAACAGCATGCTGTACTGCTTGGCATTCGCGCTGAAATACGAACGTTTCAGAGTGTTTGGGTGTCAATTTGAGGACAGTGCAGAGGACTCGGAAAGAGTTGGATGAGTCTAATGGTGATTACAAAGGTACGGAAACATGGAAAACGCACTCTGATCGTTCTGATAAGAAAAGAATTCCCGAATTTGTTTTTGAGGGTTTCAGACTCAACACGAAGGCCTACATCAACTGCCCTGAGGAGGTGGTGTTACTATGGTCTAGATGGTGGTTGGTGGAAGATCCTATGTCTGATAACAAGACTCTGTACCATGCCACACAAGCAGGAAAACCCTTGTCATTGCTGTCAGAAAATTTCTCCGACCACATCACCTCTCACATCTGGCCACCTAACTCCCCACACTGCAACCCCCTTGATTATTATGTGTGGGGCAAAATTGATTTAGAGATCAGCAAATCTTCTTGTGACACCAAAGACGAACTGAAGGCAAGGATTATGGCTGCGTTCACCAACTTAAACAAGGAGACCGTTCAGAAGAGATGCAGGAGATTCCGAAGTCGTCTGGAGGCCGTGGTTAAAGCCAATGGCGATTTTATTGAACAAACTTACTCTTAGGTATTTCGAGATATTTTTGTGCAATTTTGGTAGATATATCTGTTAAAATGAGATGTCATTATAATTTTCATTTTAGCGTATTTTAGACGACAATTTATCCATCGCACCCTATATAACAATCTGTTATACTGGAACACACCTATTCTATAGTTAATAGACTCTCCCACCTATAATAAGTAGGAGTAGTAGTAGCAGTCACTCAGTGAGTTGGTCAGTCAGTCGACTGGCTGATCGATTGAACTCTCTGCCTTCGGGCAGGGAGGAACCCGAAAGAGGCTACGCCGAAGGCTGAATTCTCTTTCGGGGAGGTAAACCGACCCTGAACCCGTTTATACGGGTTCAAAGGGCATATTTTTGGCCGAGCCCGCGAGATCGGAGATCCCACGTTAAACCGGCTTTGTGTCACATGATGCCCTCGTGGCGGGGGGGGGGTGACTAAATATCGAGTTGGTCAGTCAGTCGATGTCAGACGACCGTTAGTCGGATATTAAAGTATCAGCCACCCGAACTAGATTACTATTATATTACCTATTATATCAAGTTCCTAACGTTTTGTACGTCGAACCTATTTTAGGACCGACTTAGTACAAATACAAGTCTCCACTGTGAAACCACTACATAACACAATCAAAATGATAATTATAGTATGAACAATTAAAGAGTTAGATGAGACAATTTCGTTAGAAAAATGCTGGACTGGTATATAATATATAATCTTCTATATGGCTGTGGATATTGGCATTCTTCTTAAAGATGAAGACAACTCTTGAAACTACAACGATTGTCTTCTACTTAAAAAATATTTAAAATAACATTTTGTTTGAATCGAACTCATTACATTAGCAAAATTGGTCTGTAAAGTAAATTTGCCAAGACTGAAGCCGAAGTAGAAATGTTCAATATTTAAATATTCAACCTTGTCTTAATCCATATCAATGCGACACCTAGTGAAGACTAAATTTATTACAAGATACCAGATTGTTACAGTAGTGTCCAAGTCTAAAGTCTTATAGACTTGGACTAACTCTAAATTTTGGCACAGAATAGTTGAATCTCTAAAAAGTATCGAATTCATGTCGTCATCGATTTTGTCTGTGTGACAAACATCACGGTACGTCCAAATCTTATACGCTTTTAAATCTTAAGTCTTACAAGTTTCCCAAAGGAAAGAGATCTAGGATTGGCAAAAAAAAAAAAAAAATATATATATTTAGAGGGATTACATTCACCTCCATTGGGGCAAAAATTTACATCTTTATGCTTCTCAACAGAATATAACCGGAAGTAGAACAGATGCTCCGAAATATCGAAATAACTTTCAAAAAAAAAAGATCAACAGTTGGACAAATCCAAACTGTTCGGCGTTAGGGCAAAGAATATAGCGACCGCCTGACTTTTTCTAGATTTTTCTAAAGCCTTCGATTCTGTACATAGGGGGAAAATGGAAAAATCCTTGTGGCATATGACATCCCCCTCGAGATAGTAACTGCCGCAATGTTTCTATACAAAAATACCAAATCTTTGGTTAGATCCCCAGACGAAGACACTGAGTGGTTCTTTACCACTATGCTGCGGCAGACTAGTGTACCGTGCGATCCTCTTAAGTATGCTGCGAAATATTGTCACAGCAAACATATATACATGTGTGTTGGAACTAGTAATGGCTCCACGGTAAATAAGCTGCACAATTAGTTGAATAGAAACAGTGAAATAAAGTAAGTTCATATTTCTGTGTGTATTTTTTTTTAATCTATCGTTTTATTTTATAACCTTTAAAAATTTTGCTGATATTTTCATTTGCTCTTAGGTGTGCCGTTGCTTAAAAAGGTTAAGAAACTCTGCACTATCTCCTTCGACATCAAAGCAGGAATCCTCCACAGTGACATTCTTGCACCTTTTCTCTTTGCTATCACCCTTGACTACATACTGAAAACTTCCTTCTCAAACATAATCATCTAGGTTTTACTTTACCACTAAGACTCTCAAGTCGATATCCTGCAAAAAAGTTGATAGATATTGACTATGCAGATGACTTAGCTATCACTGCAGACACCATTACCAATTATACAGTTTCACTACATCATCTAGAAAATGCTGCCAATGATGTTGGACTCGATGTCAATGCCT